GCTGCCAATAAGTAACAGTACAAATATTGTTTTTTCCGTCAAGGATCATCGTAACAAATACGTCGGAAAATAATACAAATTATGTTAACGAGAATATAATTTTCTTTTCGAAGGTCATGGACAGAATCATGAACAGCAAGTTAGACAGCGTCCTCAACAAATTTGAAGTTATATCGCCTAACCAATTTGGCTTCCGTTCCCATATATCTACTAAGGATGCTGTTATCTGTTTATAAGAATCCATAACCAAAAAACTTGACGAGAAAAAAAAGTGTATTGGGATTTTTCTTGACCTTCGACACTGTTTCAATTCCAAGTCTCCTTAATAAGCTGGAAAACATACTACATAAACATACGTATCCCAGGGCAGTATTTTGGGCCCGATGCTGTTTAAGGTGTACATTGACGAGCTCTGCAGATTATCACTAAAAAATTGTGAAATTTTTACTTATGCAGATGACACAGCTCTTATAGTTTCTGGGTCGAATTGGACTGAAGCTAAAGTGATCGCTGAATCGGCTCTTAGGGCAGTTATGCTCTGGTTGAGAACGAACTTGCTAACATTAAATGTTGAAAAAACAAAATATATCACCTTTTCTATAAATGCATCCGGTCAGCCACCTCTCTCTTACTCTGTTGCTGCTCATACATGCGTACCAAATTCCGTTGTTTGCTCTTGTCTTGAACTTCTAAGAACTAAATATTTAAAAGACTTTGTTAAAACTAGAACGTGCGCAAAGAGCTGGAATAAAAGTTATTCACGCAAGTCGCGTACGCACGCACGTATGCACGCACGCAAGCACGCATACACGTACGTACGCACGCACGCACTTGCGCCGACGCCGGCGCAGTCAGCATAAGGCACTTATCGCGTAACCTTGAGCGAGTGACAGAGCCCTGGATATACTCTTGAAACTTTGCTTTGTGGTATTTACATTGCTGACTATTTCCGTAGCTACATATTAATCTACGTAAAAATGTACTATTGATTTGAAATATAATGTTCTTTTATGTTTCAAAAAGAGACCCGAAAAGAACAATGGCAAAATCATAGTCAAAAGAATTCGTTAGCGTCTTCAAATGTCTTAATTACAAGTTTGATTAAAATAAATTCATTAGGTTTTTCTAATTATAATAGGGGCCTATCTAAGTCTGGATATAAAATCATATTTAAAAGAAACTGTAATACTAATTAGCTTAGAAGATGAAAAAAAAAAGATATTATGTAACCGGACTGATGTCTATAACTGTCCCTTTTCCATTTTTTTAAGTTAAAGCGACATTTAGCCGCCAAAAAAAGAATTTCAGTACCTACGTATAGATATAGTCCACATTAGTTAGTTTACGTAATATCAAATGTACTGATACAACCGATTTGTAATAAGAGATTAACTACTTCATTACAAAAAAAAAAAGTAGATAACTCCTTCTCCAAAATGGCACACGAGAAAAAGGTTGTAAAATTAACAAACGAGTTCCCGAAAAACAATTTGTGTCCGAATTTCCAGTGCCATAGTCTGTGGTATGTATTAATTAACACAGTTTTTTTGTTATGGCTTAACTTCATGCCTTTGGACCATAGGAGTATAAAAAATAATTTCCTCAGAACTTTCGTCGTGGCACAAACCCACGGCACCATTTAGTTTATATTAATTCTGTTCAAGGCTTCTGTACTTTATTTTGTTATAATAATAAATCGAATATATTTTATTCAATTACGTAACACACAACACCCAAAAATTCAAACTGGAATAACTTTAACTCCAGACTTCTGGGAATAGTAAACCCAAAACAAGAATTTCAATTCTATATTTTCATGTGACGGAAATAACATATCGTGCGCTTATTGGTAGGGTAGACGCCTGTCTATCACAGTTGCAGTGCTACTCAGAGCTTTAAATCGCAAAGACCTTAGGGGCACTGCCACTACACCCGTCACCCTGAGGCTTAAGTTGTCAAGTCCCATGTGCCTGTAATTTACCAGCACTCTTTAGCAGCAGAAATAGGTAAGGTGGCAGTATTTCTTCATTTATTAATGTTAGAACCATTAGGAAAATGATATTGATAACCCAGAAACAAAAGTCGTGTTACATTAATCTATTACAAATAGATCACATTTGCAGAGCCATATAAATTCACTAATGAACCTGGATAGGCGTTGTGGTGTCATTGTTTGTGGATAGTGCTGTGAGTGTTATATTAATATCTATGTAAGGTGACGAAATAGTTAAGATTTCTCACAGAAGACGTCGGTTCGAATCCGGTCGAATCGAGGGAATTTTTTCTGAGTGTTCGACTTTGTATTAATAATTATAACAAACTAATATCATGAATATTAAAATTATTAAATTTAAATCTATGTAATAATTTATTATTTTGTGCTAAGTATTTAGTAATCTGATGGAAGTTTTGGAACTCGAATAATTATGTGTGTTCGTTTATTTTTTTAACATGCTAGACTGTAGCACGTCAGAAGCGTTGAAGAACTCTTCGCCATTATACTAAGACCTAACTCCCAACACTAATTGTCAGTTACTAAACGTTATGTGTAATGGAGTTATTTTTTTTTAAGATACAAGTAGTGCGTCTGGTGGCAAGCGAACACGCCATAGCAGTTGCATTATCACTCTGTGTTTTAAGAGGGAGCAGAGGAAAAATTCTAAATCTTCGATTTGATTTTAGAGGGGTATATCCACTTTAAAGTTAAAAATAAAGTATTGTATGAGTAACTACACGATATATTCAAGCATAGACATTAATCAGAAACATAAAACAATAAAGTTTCCTCGACAGATAAAACTCACGAAATGACCTCTAATTTTCACATTTTTTCGATTTATCCTCGAAATGCTACAGGTTATTAGGACAAAAATTAGATAATTTATTATATTTATGCATGATCGACAATTGTCACTACGGATTTTTTTAATCCCTTTAGTTTTAGAGTTATTCCGCTAAAACGAATTTGGTACTTTTAATGCGCAAAATTCAACATCTCCTGTCGCATGTCACACGAACTTCAGGCATATATTTGTTTCCCAAATTTGGGCGGAGCCAACGTCAAAACTTTTTTGAGCTCTTAAATGATTAGAGGGGCATTGCCACTACGCTTGTCACCCTGTCACAATGTAGGTACTATTGTTATATTGTTAAATTATTGGAGTATACTTGGTTCTTCATGTTGACTCAACGTTACTTTAGAAGAAACGTATGCTAAGAATTGATGATGATGATCTACCCAGGAGGGTTCTACACTAACAGATAATTTTATCACCAGTGAAATTAAAACCAACCTGTGACGATGTGACCTTACATCGTCATCCTACCTTTTTATCGCCTTTTCTTCATTTCCCGGCCACTCGTTTTTAAATTTTGAATCGTTCTTTAATTCCTTCGCCTCGCCATTTTGATTTTGTTTCGTTCCATCGTCACTTCCTGTTCTAATTTTAAATTTCAATTGGGTCTAATTTTGATCCCTTTACCAGATTTGTAATAGCTATAATCATGTGCCAAGTTTGATAACAATTTGTAATTCAGTATAACTCGGCCTTTTTGGGCTAAGTGTCTACTTTATATTCATCCATAAGCATATCCGTATGTAATTATGTCAGGAAGTGCTTTGTAGTATTGTACCTGTTTTTATATACCTTTTTTGTTACAGCCTCTTTTTTCTCTTTACCATCGACTTGTAATAAATTTCCGTGGACCTGAAGTTTTCTCGTTTTATTGCCGTGAACCTGGTCACGGCTCATTAGGGTTTACAAACTTTTTAAACCTAACCATCTACCCATTTATATGTCCTACTGATGGGCACGGGTCTCCTCTCAAGCGAGTGTTTAGGCCATAGTCCGCCACTCTGGCCCAATGTGGATTGGAGACTTAACGCGTTTTCCGAGAATTGTGACACCTCTTCGACGTGCAGGTGTCATCACGATACTTTCCTTCACCGAATAGTTCAAATTTCGCACATAAATTCCGAAAAACTGAGAGGTGCGAGCCGGATTCGAACTCACAGCATCTGCTGGATAGGCGTCAGGTCAAACCATTAAACTACTACGCAGTGAAATTACTTATAAAGAATACTACAATGTGTAAAGAAAATTGAATTTTCAGTCCTCGTAATAAAAAGTACATAAAGCAAACAAACCCGTGCACTGATTACAATTTCAGTCGCGTCGCTGTTTAACAGATTCGACAAATATTCTGAATCACGAATAGTTTTGCAAATATCGATTCATATTGGGACGCGCTGTATCAACGCGGGTGTAGGGTGTTCACGATTCTGGAAGGTTTGATTTTTTTTAAAATACTTATCGTGATAAACAGCTCTTTCCAGGTGGTTTCCCTCTCATTAGAGCACCCGACAAAGCTACCGGTAGAATTATATGCTCTCCACTACCCCGGCGGCGGAGAGGTATAGGATAATATCCCATTAAAAAAATTATCTAAATTTCGTACTGAAACGTCTGAGTTCGAAGCAATATATATTTGTCGACGTTTTGTACTGCTTGCATCCAGCGGATTCCCAGAACTTTCACCAGGTCGTCGGTCCACCTTGTGTGCAGACTACCCGGTCTCCCACGCTGCGTATTCCGGTACGCTCGAGAATTCTTTGACCCCATCCGCTATCTCGATACCTCCAATGAAAACTATGTCAACTTTATTTTTTGGTCATTTTCAGTTATTTTTGTAAACAGCCACATTTATTTACTAATATTTTAAGTTTCCCGAATTTTGTGAAAAAAAATTTAAAGCTGGTAAGAGTGATGCATGCTGTGTGATGCAGCATTGTCGTCGGTGCAAGTCATATCGGGTCGAAAAAGTTTTTCTATGTGTTCGATCTTTGTATTAATAACCATAATAAAAAAGTGTGGTAGTTATTTCACAAAAAAATCTCAAATATATCTTTAGCTTTTAATTCACAACGGTCTGTATTTTTACCTTCTAGAGGTCGTGTAAAATATTTGTATGGCAAATTGTGCAGTGGTTACAAAGTTAACGTAGGTTAGTGATATAAAATAAATGTAGCGGGTGCTCCGTTAACCAGTAAGTTTGGCAGCCGCCAGTAGGGGAAGGATGAAGACGTTGCTCCTCCCAGGGTGGGTTCTGGTGCGCAAAGCTTATCCCGGATCCCTCCCAATAGAGCACCCGAGAAGACCACCGGTAGAAGTCTATAGCCTCTCCGCTGCCCCGATGGCGGAGACATTCATCAGTATATCGGTCCAACTTGTTGGTGGTCGTCTTGTAGTACGCAGTCGTCACTCGAGAATACTGTGACCCCATCGGTTCTTTTATCTGTTCCGTTAACAGATATAAGAACACATTATTTAGTGACGAAACTCTGGCAGCGAAATATGGACTGAATATTCTCTTGAGACATTTCAAGCTCGAGACTCGAGAGAGAGAGAGAGAGAGAGAGTGGTATTGCACTACTTGTAGAAAAAAAGAGTCAACAAACTGACGTTTCGGGCTTTGCACAAGTCCTAAGGTCACGGATGACTGCCAGATTTTAGATCTACAGTAATCGCGGAAACCTACGTGCTTGATTTGTACTAAGCTGTTACCAAACAACCTGAGTGTTTCAGAATATTATTAATGCCATCTACCGGTGAGCAGTGAAACTAAATAAGTATAACGGTTCAAACATTATAGACAAATATACAATGTACTGTATCAACCGATACAGGTCCTACTACAGCGCACGAACCACCTTTAAGGATATAGTTTAGGGCATTGTTCACTATCCTACAATTTAGGTACCTTATGGCCACCCAGTTAGGCACACGAGACGACATACCGGGTCTAATTAGACGAGTTTAGGGACAAATTCCGCGTCTCTAAGAATGCCAAACGTCATTACCTTATTCAATTTACTCTTAGTGTGCGCAATGTGAATACAAATTACTTACGATGTAGGTGCCTACTTGTCTTTTCTTGTTTGTGTAGATAACGTAAAGAAAAAGGTCAAAGAACTAAGTTATATATTTTTGTATTGCTTATCAAGTTTTGTTTTTGTTTTGCCGTATATCATAATCTATGTAGTCGGCCCTGCGGTAATGATTCATTATCTCAAAGTTTGTTGACAAAACTTGTGTTTTGCAGAGAAACGAATTATCTTTTTTAACCGACTTCAAAAACTTGGAGGAGGTTCTCAATTCGACTGGTTTTTTTGTATTACGATTTTTTAACCGATTTCGATGATTATATATCTTGGTTGGACCACTACAGATAGTGGTCCAACTCAAATTTGAAGAAAATATTTTTTTTATATAGTTTGTATAGTTTGCTAATATTTTACATTTATTAGGTTTATTGACCATCACAATGTTTTACTATTATGATATTCAATTATTTTTTGTAAAATATGGCGTTTCGGAAAAAAGTCGTCATAAACCAAAAACAAAGCATGCACGGGGCGCGCTGCGAACGCTCGCAACCGGGGACCCAGTAGCCGCTAGAAGCTACGGTGGCTCCAACAAATGGTTCAATGGTACGGTAGTTAATAGGGATGGTTCTTAAGAAGACATATTGATCAGATTAGGCGCAAATCCCGTTTGTCTGATGTACCGTGTCCTAAAGATATTAATCAAAACTATGATGAATATCGCATCTCAGTCGGCGTGGTTGCGAATGTTGCTAATGATGGTGGAGGATAAGACGAGATACGCGAGAGGCGTGTGGCAGACGCTCGGTTGGACAATTCTACTCTTCGTACTCCTTTCTACCCTTGACACCGGAGCCACCAGAGACCCGTCCCAAGCGTGTGATTAAACCGGTGTTAAGATACGGGATAGATTATTAGCTTGGGATTACTTTACATTTTGTTATAATTAAGGGTTCAGTCGGTACTTATTTAAATAATTGTTAAATGTTAAGTAAACTTGAGTTTTTAGTTGCATTTAGAGTGTCGTATGTATTGTATATCAAATGTATTTTCTTTCTTTCTTCCAATATCTGAATTATAATTATACTGTGTAAATTTTGATTTATAATTATTTTATTGTACAGAAAAAACAAAAACACATTCAGTAACAAGGAAAACACAAATAAAAGTTACTGCTTATTTCTAACAGAAATTTCTTCCTGCAGACCTAAATACAGGAGACAATAATTACAATAACGGCTTTACGTGCACAACAAAACAAAAATGGATGGAACTAACGATAAATAGTGTTCCTCCGGAGCATATATTAAGTTTACCATTTCCTAAGTTTAAAACTTACATTAAAATTATTTTAATTGTAAAGTCATATTACAAAATTGTAGACTACGTGTTAGATAAAGATGTATGGAAAGACAACGTGAGTCCAGATTCCACACAAATATGATTCATAATGTATTCTATAGCATTTAAGTTTATTGGAAAAGAGCAATCTCTAGAGTTTCTTGCTTGTTCTTCTCAGAACGAACAGTAGCTTAAAAAATGACGTAATCCACATGAACAGTGAAGGAGTGAGAATAAAAACCGGAATTGAAGGATGGAAAAAGACAACTGGGACATAACGAGATAGCGGCAGGGCTTATCCTGGACCTGATAAAACTGAAACGCTCTTTCAGATACCCGGGGTTGTGTAGAATATTATAGAGAACGGAGACAGTACAGAGACGAATGGGAAGCCACTTGAGTTGACTGCGATATTGTGAACATGTTGTTATGTTTCTGTTAATATATGTTAGTGAATTAAGTGTGATGTGATTTATACTGTATTTGTGAGTAGTTTTATTATAAATGTTATGTGGGCACGCATGTATGTGTGTCTCAGTCATCCAAATAAATATCATAGTGTGAATACCTGGTTTTACTCCCGAACTTAGGTCTCGCGCATAGTCTATATAGTTTAGATTTTCAATCTGCAACACAGAAAAATTCGTATGGAATGCTGTTTTGTTCCGCAGCTCAGGTTGGGAGAGCGTTAGACACGTTATCTGCTCACGCGATGCGCTCATCCTACCGCAAAATGGCGGCTATTTGGTTTCGCAAATTAGAAAAGGATTCAGTTTAAATACAAGTTTTTGTAAATAAAAATTATTATTCTGCATTGCTAAATAAATACCCTCAAATAAAATGCAGTAATACACCGCAAATCCTGCACTTAAAAAGCACTAATGAAATTTCTGGTGTACTTGGGTAAATATGATAATATTCCGTTTGAGTGGTTCTAACGTTTACCATGAAATTACTCCTTAAAGTATAGTTTATAAACATTTATATTCAGGGTAAACTTAAAAAACGCTACTTACGGTATATTTTCAACAAATAAACACCGAAATCACCAGCCCAAACAATAACACACACGATTGTCGTGACGTATTTTTAAAGTTGTTTATTTTTTTAAATGACAGACCCAGGCATTAAAAACTTTATGGTTTGCTAGAGTAGTTACCGAAATAGCAATTAGTATTAGTTCTTTTACCTGTTATAACTTCGATATCCGATAAACCGGTATAAAATCATCACCGGCACCTCTAGGTGTGGTATGCGCCTACGGCTGCATGTATCGCGTGAGCGGTTATACTGAAAGCGCTGGTTCGAATTAAGCCTCATCAAAGGAATTTTTCTTAGTGTTTGATGTTTATAAACACGTGTTTTATACATATAACTTTTATCTTTTTTAACCTTGTTTTGTAAGACAATTTTCATAACCTTTTGGAGTACACTCAAGCAGAACGTTAAAACATTTCAATAATATAGCGTATATATTGACGGAATGAATTTTGGAGGACGCGGTTTGAATTATTCCCTCGAGACGTAAAGTGCTGACGTCTTGATCCGGGAAAAGGGAAATGTTATAGAGTAACTTCAATTTAGGAATATAAGTTTTAGTCGTGCCCTGGCAATTCAATTTCTTTTATTAATAATAAATAGGGGTTCATTCTTGATCACAATCAAGATTGTTAGTCAGAGATAACCAAAAAGATGCCTATATATTCTGCTTTTGAAGACATTGGGATCAGACATACATACGTATGACCTGAGTGGCTCAACCGTTTGCACTGTGGGCACTGGTTGAGGAGAACCCGGGTTCGATTACCGGAAAGACCACTTTGGAAATTCATCATCATCAGTGCAATAGAGCTCCTTGTGAAAGAGTTCGTCCAGGAAAGTACAGTCACTTTACCTATTTCAGTCGCCAAAGAGTGACGTGAGCATTACTGCGTTCTTGTTTGAAAGGGTAAGGGCGCTGGTGAAATAACAGACACATGGATCTTGTCATCTTTGCGATTTAAAGCTCTGAGTGGCACTGCAGCTGTTATGGACAGGCGTGTCGCTTACCATCAGGTGCACGACTTGTTCGTCCTGTTACTTGGTATCATAAAAAAACACATTAATGTAGTCGGTTTCTAAATTGTTCATCCACTTTTCAGTACATCTCAAACAGTATAGCGTTCCTTCTTCAGTAATTCGGGTTTTGAGGCGATTGATATTTGCTGCGAACCTGTCCTAAACGCGCTCGTTACGAGACGTGCGAGAGGACGACATGGCCTAACGTGACGTCACGCCAAGCAGCGGTAGCGTAGCGGCACTCGCCTTATCACGACCCTGGCGAATGTCGACCCTACTATAAAACATTGTATTTAAAAGCCAAGCTGTGCGATTGAGACGGAAAATATACCAGTCCTATTGTCAATATAGTCCTCTTAAATTATAGATCTCATTGGGACCCAACATTGGTCCTTCGAGCCGGATTCGCAACAATATTCAATTTAAAATCCATAGTGAAAAAATACTTAACACTAACGTATTATATAGCTTCTGCGTACTTGGATGACAAAAATCTATAGCTGTGACTTGTTTCGCTCTTACAAGGTTGTATCGATCTATATACAGGGTTATTTTTAAATAATTCTAACAACCTGACAGGACTATATTACTAATGGCATGAAGAGCAACTTTTGTTCCATGACTTGACAATACAATCATGTCTATATAGATATTGGTTATACATAATGTATGGATAGATAAGATATCGTGTACCATTCCCGGGCTATGCGCATTAAGAAAGACTGTGCGTAGTGCTTGAGCCATCAATTTTGTGCTGACGTAGATACATAGAGGGTGAACACCTGCCGTCCTCTTGCAAATTTCGACTATCATTCGCTAAGAAGAAAAAAATTAACAAATAGGGACACGCTTGCCAGTAGCAGTTACAGTGCTACTGAGAGCTTTAAATCGCAAAGATCTGACGGGCATTGCCACTGTTCCCGTCAGCCTGGGACATAGGTTGATAGGTCTCATGTGCCTGTAATTTCACCAGCACCCCCCTACCCTTCAAAATTAATAC